CTTTCAATAAAAGCCTTTGGACAAAGGGGTTTGGGGCTTTCTCTCTATTACAGGGAAGAGCCACGTCCCCTCTCCTGGCAAACAGAGAAGTGTTTACGATGACTCTTGTTTATTCCCCCATCCATAAGAAACCTGGGAAAGGCTGTGTGGGATTCAGAGTCCATGCATCCCACCTCAGCTGGCCCCTGACAGTGACTGTCAGATCCAGGAGCCCTGCACTCCCCATGGCACATCACCAGATATATTTTTCATATGTTGTCCTGATATTTAGTATCTGCTTTAAGGTTATTTTTTTAATTAATGTATAATAGGTACATAATAAATGTGGACATTGGAAAATTACTTATAATAGTAGAACAGAAAACATAATTTGAAGCTAAGAGTTAGGTAGGCATATTGGATTGTCACTATAGTGAGACTGGTAAGATTTTTATAACACTTGAGTTTCCCCGAGGAATGAAAATGCCTCAGGAGGAGATGGCATGTAATATTTTATGACAATAGCATTCTTTAGCTTGTATTGGGCATAAAGACTTATATTTTATATATGGAAAGACTTCCATATATAAAATATATAGAATCTAAATAAATTGAGAGCACTGTAGTAAAAGGGATAAAAATACCATTTTCTTAATACAAATGCTTCAGCACAGAATGCATAACTAAAATTTCCAAGCCATACGTTTCTATCCTACAAATTTTTATATGCATATATTCTGAGAGATTTTTAATTAAATCAGAGTTCTTGGAGGTAACTAAAATAATGTTAATGAGAACTCTATATCATATTGATGTCAACTTTCAACACTTATTTTACTGTCCACAATTGTGTATTTTTAGTTTATTGCAATATTTCTCTCTTTAAAAAATGTTATGTCATGGATAACACAATGTAATTTTAAGATTGCTGATACTGATAATTAAGACAATTCTTAGGTTAGATAATTCACACCTAGTTTACTTAGAAAATATGTCACAATTGACTCAACAGATGCCTATACTGTGTTTGGAAACATTTGTCTTAATCAATGTCTCAGTTCCCTACTTAACAATAAAGCAAGTATTTCATTTGCTGTTATCATCTTGAATGCCTTGAGGATTTTCTCTAACAGGTTTTATCAAAATGTATTTTATCAAATTCTTTACATTCTAATCCTAAACTAATTAATCAATTCAAAATACTTTACATGTAACAGTAGAAAAGGTACTAAGTACACTATACTCACTTATCTCACTTATATTTTTATATTAATTATTTATTGATTTATATTACTAATTCCTTCATATGTAAGGTTTATATCTCCAATCATAATGCTGAAATATATATTCTAAAAGTCTGAATCTTACAAGAAACTAAATATTTACACATTTTCTATAAAACCTGATAAGGCAGTCATGGTACCTTTGATTTGTAGCCAAGTCTGATACATTTGTGTATAACCTGGGGGCTTCCTACCTGTGATTGTCATCTGAAGTGTGTGTATGGGGGTACAGTTTTATGGGGCTGAGTTCTTAACCTGTAGAATCTGACAGTCTCCAGGTAGATAGTGTCAAAGTTGAATTTACTTATAGGATACCCAGCTGATGTCTCAGAGAATTGCTTGTTGTGGAAAAACCTCCACACATTCGGTGATCAGAAGTGTCAGAAGTGAAGTGTCTTGAATGAGTAACAAAGAAAATACTCAGGCAGTAGCCTGAATTGAAGTTTTTCCCTGCAACCAGAGGGAAAGAATGTATTTTTCATTTTAACTATGTATATATGTGTATAAATACATAAATTCTTAAAACTTATACTATTTAAGCAGCTAAGAATTTCATAAAAGACACCAAATTCTATACCTTATTTGGTTTCTTGGACAAATATGTAATCTAAGTAGATTGTAAAATAAGTAATCACACAATACATATGTATAACTGGGCAAGTTCCTTTCTTTCTAGAGATGGCAAGTATTATAATAATATTCCATTTATGATCATTTTTCTCTATAATAAGCAATATTCTAAATGTATTATGTGAGATTTTTCATTATTCCTGACAATAAACCTAAGTGCTAAGCACTATAAACTTCCCAATTTATTAACAAGTATGGTTAGTAAAATGAGAGGTTAATATGTGTCTGTGGTCACATGATCAGTACATGACAGACATGAGATTAAAACTTTGGCAGACAGACTCCAGAATCTTCTCTTTTAACCGCTTTTCATACAAAAAGTTTAATTTTGTCAACCACTAACTATTCACTACTATTTACAGATTGACTATAATATAATACACTATAGCACTACTGAGACAAAAACAAAACTATGAAAATTGAATTCTATATCCTTGTTCCTTAATGTTTCCTAAATCCTAGATCCCTTTGAAAATATGGTTACTAATAAGTACTTTCCCTCCAGAGATTTGGGTGTACACATGTGTATGTACACATATTTGTGTATATGTATATTGTTTTGTGTTATATTTCAGAGTTTCTTTAAGTAGCCTAAACACCAATTTATGAAGGCTGAATTAGCTGTGGCTGGTGTAGCTCAGTGGATTGAGTGCCAGCCTGAGAACCAAAGGGTCACTGGTTTAATTCACAGTCAGGGCACATGCCTGGGTTTCAGGCCAAGTCCCCAGTAGGTAACCACATATTGATGTCTCTCTTCCTCTCTCCCCTTTTCCCTTCTCTCTAAAAATAAATAAATAAAATCTTTTTTTAACCAAATTAAATGAACACTATATTTATTGATCCATTTCCCAATTTTTAATTGATTTTAACCAATTTCTGTTTTAAGTACAAAATATTTTAATTTTTACTTATCTAATTTTTAGTAATTTTTAAAACATAGATTAAAATTCCTCTAACTTTTTCTGTTGATTGATTTTAGAGAGAGTGAGGGAAAGAAATGAGAGAAACATTGATTTCTTGTTCTACTTGTTTATGCATTTATTGGTTGATTCTTGTATATGCCCTGACTGGGGATTGAACCCGCAACCTTGGAGTATCAGGACAACTCTCTAACTAACTGAGCAAACCAGGCAGGGCAAAAATAATTTTCTGTTAGCAGATTATTTAAGGATATTCAACTGCTGTATAATTTAATTCTAATTTAAGTATCTCCAGAGCATAGAAAGGCAACCCAAGAATTTGGGGGCTGAGGATATTTTCATGGGCTAGTTTGAAAATGTTATTTTCAATAACACTATTTTGTTTTGGATGAGGTGTTGACTACATTAAATATATATGTTATACATATCTCCCTTACCTCAATTATGATAGCTACAAACTCCCTAATGATAAAAATAAATGAAATAGATTCCTGACAGAAACCTTGGTCTCTCTCTACTCAGTGATCAACAATGAACATTTATAGAAATAATATGTTGAGTGCTAGAAGTACTAAGCTAGGCAGAGTAATAATCTTCATATCAAAGTTGAGAAGAATTCCATAAATGTCCTTTATATAGATATGGTAACTATTAGCAAGACCATTTTCAGATCAAGCAATAAAAAAATCCAGCGAATTAAACAGTTTAGTTGAACAGAACTGAAAATTCTAAAACTAATCTCTCTCCAGACATGGCTTGACCAGGTATCCTAACCAATTTTTCAGTAATTGTTCTACCTTCCTCTGTACTACAGAATTCCCTCATGGTGGACATGAATGCTTGTGCTGCATGCATTACACATAGTTACCATTTTCAGTACAGGAAGAGGCACCTTCTTTCAACCAATTAATACATGTCTATGCTTCACTCTGATTGGACCATCCTGAAATGAGCATTGCCACCAGGAGAGTATCACACACTAGTAAATGTATAAGAGTTATGTAGAGCAATATCATAGACTTCTAGTGTCAAAAATTTAATGATATATGCATTTTTTTTGCTTTCATTGAAAGATATAAATTAGTATGCTATTAGTGTGACAATTATGGAACCTTTGCTTCACTAATCTACCTCAAGTACATTACCAAGTTTACCTGTAATTTCCTGTATTCAGTTATGAAATGGAAATCTACTTGTCTACCATTCACTATTATGTTAATTATAAGAATGGAGTATAAGTCAAGGGTAGTATGACAGTGGCCAAGTGACTTTAGATTTATGGTGTGTGATCCTTGTGAGAATAAGCTGCAAATATCAGCTGTTGAGTATCTTTTAGAAATGGCATTTTATCACAGCCATCCTTCTAGGATCCTCTTGAAGAATTCATTGAATGCTTTTTAGGAAATTAAAATGGACCTAATGCAGTTAAAAACCTAAAGACCAAACCCTTGAACTTTTTAAAGTTGTGTTTGAACAATAGGCATGTTTTAAGTTCTGTCATGTTTTAACAGAGTAACACACTGTATTTATCAGGACCAATCTTTCTCACCAATATTTTGAAAATTTTAGAAGTCGAACCATTCTTGAAAGTAGATTTGAAAGTGTGGTTAAATAGCATTGTCATAATTAGTCAATCTATCAATCCATCCAGTCACAATCTTTAACAAAAGTCATACTTTTGTAATAGTAATAGAAAGAACATATTATTTTCTCAAAACATGATCTATTTACTGGTGCATTTTTGAAATAAAGTTGTTTCACCAACAATCATGCAATTGTAATATATTTTTTATGTGGTTAGTTAAGAAAGACACCAGTATCCATATCTGTAAACCGGGAAAGAAATGTAACTGATTAGTTATAACGACTTTCTACAGATTTTTTTGAGAAAATACCTGGGTCAGAATCTGGCACTAATTCAATAAAATAGCATTATTTTGTTGTTAATATTATAATTGTTACTGTTCAATTTTATGCTTTTATGATATAATCTATTTTTATAGTTTTATTACAATGTAATTGACATACAGCTCTGTATATATTTAAGCTAACAGCATCATGATTTGATTTACATATATCATGTAATGTTTACAAGTTAAAATCCATCATCTCATATCAACACAAAAATATATTTTTCTTGAGATGAGAGTCCTTAGTATCTACTCTCTTGAAAACTTTTGTATATATCCAAAATATGGAACACTTCACAAATTTGCATGTCATCCTTATGCAGGGGCCTTGCCGATTTTCTCTGTATCCTTCCTTTTTTAGTATATGTGTTGCTTAAGTAGGCACAATCTATTTTATTTTTAGAGAGAGGAAGAGAGGGAGAAAGAGACGGAGAGAAGTATCAAAGCATGGCTGCCTTTTGCGCACCCCTTGCAGAGGACCTGGCCTGCAATCCAGGCATATGCCCCTACACTGTGAATTGAACCGGCAACACTTTGGTTCGCAGTCTGGCATTCAATCCACTGATCTGCACCAGCTAGAGCTACAATCTATTTTTTTAAATGCCTATTTTGTCAAACAAAGCAATTATTTTTAAGAAATTCTTTATTTCTTAATATGCATTAAGTAGTGAGGAAGTGAGATTTTGTGGTGTATTTTAGCAATCAAAAGATGAGAGTCTTTCTGAAATATTTATTTTAGGCCTTAGAATTTAAACATTGAACATTCGCTTCCCTGGATCATCTTCAGGATCAAATAATAAACATATGATTTAACATATTTCCTCTTTGGTGTTTCATGCATCTGTTATAACATAAACAAGGGTAGCACTTGATGAGGATCTGGAGGAGGAAGTATATAAATAAACCAAATATCAACTTGAAAGTTATTAACTGTACTTAGGTATTAAAATGAATATATTTATTATAGTATCTTTCTGCCAAATAACTGAAGTATTTTAAATAGCTTAACAATACAATAATATCTTACATGGGAAGGTCTATAGCCAATGTAGTCTCAATATTCCTATTTTACTAAAATCCCATTTAGCACACTAAACACTATATCTCCCTGGATTTTTAAAGACTAAATTTAATTACCCATAGAGGCAAAATTTCCCCCAAATAATATTACTTGTTAAGTATTTAAGCCCTGTCATAGGGTCCACTTCTTAGTCCAAAGGTTTTTTCATGTGTCTTTTCAGCATGCTTTATATGTTTCTACTGTCCATTAAAGTAAGTTCACTGAGGCAGGTATATTAGTTTCCCAACTTATAATAGAAGTAGTAATTGCCCACTCCTCTTAATTTGTGTACTGAAAAAAATAACTCAGTGGATGTATGATCTGTTTTAATTCACTGAGAGTTTGTATTGACTCTAAAAGCAAAAGGACACATAGTGATGGACTAAAGCATTCACCTCAGTTACAAACTCCAAGTGCTTAGATTCCCTTCATGATAGTTGTTAACTACAGTTTTAAATGTCATTATCTGGTCAGGATTGGTAATAAGGTTTTTTTTTGTGATTAGTTACTAAAGCATTCAAGGTTTGCAATCTGAACAAACCTATTCAGAGTTAATATAAATCAGGATAAATCCAGGCCAAAAAGAAAACCTCATAAAATGTAGTATTGCAGTTGTCATCCACATTCTGATTTCTCTTTTAGAAAGTGTTTATAAAGCAATAGGCAAAATTTTGTCATCGTTTCTGAAATTCAATCAGTCATTAACTCAACAAATATTTATGTGTCAGACACTTTCCCAAAGTATGCAGTGGACAAGACAGGCGAAGATCTTGCTCTCGTGATACCTACACTCTGTACAGATAGGTGGATTTTAAATTGCTGTGTAGAATAATAACAAAGGTAACAAATATCTTCATTAAAAGAGATAATTTAAGATGTGGATATGTGTTACTAAAAAGAAAAAATATATTGTGGCATATTGAGGGGATATGTTTTAGATCTTGTGGTTCAGAAAACCCTTCTCTAGAGATGTTAGAGATGATACCTAAATTTTACTAAGTACTTGTTCATATGACCAGATGGAAGCAGAACACCCCAGGCAAAGGGAATGAAAAATAAGAGACAGCTGATGGGAATATTTATATTTGATCATGATATGAACTGCAGAGCTCAATGATATTTTGATTTTTAAAGCGTCTTGAAAATATATTGACGTTCTTTTAAGGTATGTTGTTTAAGCGAATAATTTAAAAATCATTTAATGACTTCAGAATGAGACACAAGAGATTCAACTTTGTACCTAATATTCTTAGTAAATCGCATTGTAATACAACTTGTGGATCGAAGTATTTAGCTAAACAATCATTTACTTGCTTTTCCTTTAAAGGAAGGATGCTCAATTATTTCAGCTATCACAAACTCCTAGGTGATTCTCTAAAATACTTTTTAACCTTTTTCTTTAAAAAAAATTTTTTTTTTATTTTTCAAATACATTTTCCTGCCACCACTTTCCCCTGACCCACCCACCCCCACCTCTCACCCTCAATCCTTCCCCACTTTGGCTTTGTCCATGGGTCCTTTATACATGCTCCTTGACTTGATCCTTCCCTTTCTTTTCCTCATTACCCCAACTCCCTCCGTCCCTCTGATTAGTCAGTTTTGTTTTTCTTTCAATGTTGCTGGTTATATTTTCCTTGCTTTAGCTTAATAGTTACTTCATCATGGCAGTCACTAGTCCCTAAAATACTTTTCTAAACTATAATCTTTTTGCTGTCCCCAACCCACGGTAAGAAATAGTTTTTAATTTTTCAACCCAGTTTTCTCTGAAAACTATTTCTATGTGTGACGAACTCCAGTACGCTCTTCATTTAAAGTTTATTTTTATTGCTTGTGCTGTTACAGTTGCTCCCAATTTTTCTCCCTTACCCCACCTACACCCAGCCCCATCTTCTCCCTTCCCCAAGTCAATCTCCATATTGTCTATGTCCATGGGTTTGCATAAATGTTCTTTGGTTAATCTCTTTACCATCTCTCATCCCATGCTCCCACTCTTTCTGGCAGCTGGCAGTCTGTTCTATGTATTTAAGCTTCTGTTACCATTTTGTTCATTAGTTTTTGTGTTCATTAGATTCCATGTATACGTGAGATGATGTGGTATTTGTCTTTCACTGAATGATTTCATTCATTTAGCATACTTTTCTCCAGGTCCACCCATACTATTGCAAAGTGTAAGAGTTTCTTCTTTTTTACTGCTGCATAGTATTCAATTGTGTAAATGTAGCACAACTTTTTTTTATCCATTCATCTACAGGTGGGCACTTAATCTGTTTCCAGATCTTTGTTATTGCAAATAGTGCTGCTATAAACATAGGGGTGCATATAATTTTTGTATTGGTGTCTCAGGATCCTTGATGTATATTCCTAGAAGTGGAATCACTGGATCAAAAGGGAGTTCCATTTTTAGTTTTTCGGGTAACTCCATATTGTTTTCCATAGTGGCTGCACCAGGCTGCATTCCTGCCAACAGTGCATTAGCGCTCCCTTTTTTCCACAACCTGACAGACATTGTTGTTGATTTATTGGTGGTAGCCAATCCAATAGGTATAAAGTGATATCTCATTGAGGTTTTAATATGCATTTCTCCAATGATTAGAGATGTTGAGCATTTTTAAACATGTTTAAGGGTGTTCTGTATGCTTTTTTGGAGAAGTTTCTGTTCAGGTTTTTGTATAATTCTTAATTGGGTTGTTTGTCTTCCTGCCATTGAGTTGTGTTAGTTCTTTGTATATTTTGAAGATTAAACCCTTGTCAGCGGTATCATTGGTGAAAATGTTCTCTGATACAGTGGGTTTCCTATTTGTCTGGCTGATGGGATTTTAGCTGTACAGAAGCTTTTTAATTTGATGCAGTACCATTTGTTTATTTTCTGCTTTGTTTCCAGTGCTTTAGGAGATATATAGGCAAAGATATTTCTAAGCTGAATATCTGAGACTTTATTGTCTATGTTTTCTCCTAGGATTTTTATGGTTCTATAACTTAAATTTAAGTGTTTTATCCATTTTGAGTTTGCGTATGGTTTAAGTTGGTGGTCTAGTTTTGATTTTTGCATGTACCAGTCCAGTTTTCCAAACACCATTTATTGAAGAGACTGTATTTGCTCCATTGTATGCTCTTGCCACCTTTGTCCAATATCATGGGTTTATCCCTGGGCCTCTGTTCTATTCCATTGATCTATATGTCTGTTCTTGTGCCAGTACCAGGCTGTTTTTATTACAGTAGCCTTATAGTTTGATATCAGGAATTGTGATACCTACAGCTTTGTTCTTCCTTCATAAGATTGCTGAGGCTATTTGGGGTCTTTTTTTGGTTCCATTTACATTTTTGGAGTATTTGTTCTAGTTCCATAAAGTATGCCATTGGTATTTTAACAGGAATTGCATTGAAAATATAAATTGCTTTGAATAAAAGAGCCATTTTAATCATGTTAATTCTTCCAATCCATCAATATGTTATGTGCTTCCACTTATTTGTATCTTCCTCAATCTCTTTCATCAGGGGCCTATAGTTTTTGGAGTACAGGTCTTTTACCTTCTTGGTTAAATTTATTCCTAGGTACCCTATTTTTTGTTACAATATTAAATGGAATTGTTTTCTAAGTTTCTTTTTCCGATAATTCATTATTGGTGTATAAAAATGCCATCAATTTCTGGGTATTAATTTTGCATCCTGTTATTTTGCCAAACTTAATTAGGTTTCATAGTCTTTTTTTGGTGGAGTCTTCAGAGTTTTCTATGTACAATATCATGTCTTCTGTGAACAATGACAGCTTACTTCCTCGTTTCCAATTTTGATACCCTTTATTTCTTCTTCTTGTCTGATCACTGTGGCTAGGACTTCCAGAACTACATTGAATAAGACTTGTTAAAGTGGACATCACTGTTTTGTTTTTGATCTCAAGGGGACCAATTGTAGTTTCCATCCATTGTGAATGATGTCAGCTCTAGGTTTTTCATTTATGGCTTTATTATGTTGAGGTATGATACCTCTATTCCCACTCTGCTAAGAGTTTTTTATTGTTTTTTTTTTATCGTGAATGGGTGCTGAATTTTATCAAATGCTTTTTCTCCACCTATTGATATGATCATTTGATTTTTGTCTTTCATTTTGTTTATGTGGTGTATTACATTTATTGATTTGGGAATATTGTACCAAACTTGCATCCCCAAGATAAACCCCGATTGATTGTGGTGTATGATCGTTTTTGATATATTGCTGGATCTGGTTTGCTGATATTTTGTTGAGGATTTTAGTATCTATGTTCATTAGGGATAATGGCCTATAATTTTCATTCTTTGTTGTGTCTTATCCTTGTTTTGGAATTAACA